GTAGGCTGCTTGTTGCAGTGACTTTCTAAATATACTTTAAAAATTTATGTCACAAAAGCCTAGGAATTGGAGCAGGGTAAATTCAGCTTGAAGACCTTCGAATTATGGTATATTTTATAATCAGAAAAATAGGGTGAGAAGGGACCTCAGCCCACATCTAACCCAACCCCCTGATCATGGCAGGTTCATCCTTGTCTAACTCATCCCAGGCAAGTTTTTGACTAGCCAGCTCTTAAACACTTTTACTGATAGAACACATAACTGTCAAATTCATTTTGTGCTTTAAAATAAAATACTTTTAATAAAGCTTTGCCCTGTGAATATTATTATGCAATCCCATACTAGAATTGACTTGAAAAAATATGGTTCTCAAGCCCTGATTTGACAAACACCTGTACATGTGACCAACTTTGTACTCATATGTAGTACCATTAACTTCAATCAAATTACTTACCTGCATGAAACTAAAGTGTTTGGAAGACTTGATTGACTTTTAAAGGATACTGGCAATTTGAATATTTGATTAATTTTAAGAAGTGCAATGTTTATATAGGTAGAAGGTAGGAAAGCATGGCATCTTAGACTCTAGAGAGTTGACTACTCCTTGTTCACGCTTATTAGAAGGATAATTTCGGTGGGCCTGAGAGCTATAATATCGGATGTCCTCTAGTCCAATTATTCTAACCGCTGCCCCTTCTCTTGGTGCAAAGACACTGTACTTTTTGGGTATCCTGAGAGGGGTACTGGGAAGGGCGTATCATTAACAATACAGTGAAAGGGAGTATACATCACATCTTATCAAATATACAACATGAGAGTTCTGTTATCCCCCCTCTAAACTTTCATTTACAGTCATTTTAAGATTTACGTTTCATAGATAGTAAACATTTTAATGGATTATGCTCTTTAAATTAGCACTGCTTCTTTATCTTTGATCTATCATAGCAATTGCACTCATGTTATACATCATTTTGCAATATATTTCAAATTACTCCACAGTCTCCTCAAATTTTGAGAACAGAATGTTCAAAATGTAATACTGGAACACAATAAAACTGTCATACTAAGTATAGGGTGCAACTTATTTAAAATTAAAGAACAGGATCAGCTGCTCTGGCTGCTAGCCAAAAATGATAACGATATAAAAAAAATATAGCTATGTGAGCTGCTAGTATTAAACTGGTTGTGTCAAAAAAGAACATCATACAACATTTTAGAATGTGTGTCCACATCCTTTTCATGTTGCCATAAAGGTGTCAAAATTATATTCAGTTTTTGCAGGTGGAAATCTTTTTCTTTTCAGAGCTCTGCAGAGAAAAATCTTTCACTGAAAAAGCTGCTTAAAAAATTATTTCCAGGCTTCTGATCTCCTCTCCCTAATAAAAATGACTGACTTCTTACTAGGGACTGCAAAAAGGGGTAACCCCAGTTTTCAGTTTTTATTGTCACGTTTATGAATATACTAAATACACCTTAGCTCTCAAGAGATAGAATTCAAATGAATGACAATTTACAAAAAAATGACTTTAAGAACTTTGACCTTACCCAAGAAATATGTAAGTTACCAAGGAAATATATAGGAAATATCTATCAGGAAATTGGTAGGCTAATTTACTGTTCAGCAACATAGTACGCTATTCTGCTTTGCCCCTTTCTCTCTTTTTTGTGCAACGTTCTCATTGGATACAAAACCACTCTTCTGTACACTTGATGCCTTTTAATGACTTATCAGACAGCAAAGAAACATAGGGAGGAAGCTTCAGGCAAGGGCTTTACATTTTTTAAATTAAAGAATGGCATACTACTTCTAGTAGGATTGGAGTGTAGGGTTGGATGGCCCAGGAACTATATGAGAAACGAGGGGTTTCTGTGGTGCAATTTATCAGACCAACTGTATAATTGGAAGAGATGTTGGACAAACTTTCAGGAACAAAGTGCCATTCTTCAGTTCCAGTGAAAGATATAACAAAAAAACTCCTAGCTCTCATACATTTCCTGGACCATAATGGCTACACAATCCAACTCTACTACAAGACGAAGGATACTGAAATCTGCTGCTGACAAAGGAAAAGCCACAGCCTAAAACTAAAGAAAGGCTCTTGGTTCCTAAAAAACATGTCCAACTTCTCTCCCAACTACAGTTAGTACAATAAAAGAGATCACAAAAAACACTTCCTTTGTATATTGTTTCTTGGCAACAGTGACAGGAACTTAATTTGTTTTATATTTCTTGTTTGGGCCAATTTTAGTCAGAGCAAACTCTCAGAAAGTCAGTAAACTGTAAAAAAATCATTGCACTCGTGGATGGTTTTGTACATTTTTTCAGACTTTAAATGTAAGAGATCTCATTAAATGGCAACTGAATTCTAATATTGTACCATAGATTGAAAAAAGAACGAGGTGTCACAAGCTATGGGCACAAGCTGCAGGTCTCTGCAGGCACTTGGCCTTCTTGGTTTATTGTTCTTTAAACCAGAGGTCAGCAACCATTAACAATAGCTAGCCCCTGTTTATGACTGGGCTACTCTGCAGCCCTAGTTGCTCTGTGCTGAGGGCTGCTCCTTCTTCTGCTTACCCTTGCCACTTAGTGCCATATTTCTTTGGCAAAGGTGATAGGAGGTGGTAAATTTGATGGCACCGGTAAGCAAAGGCTGTAGTAGCAGGATGACAGAGCAGAGAGGGCTGGGGTGGCCATCTGCTGGATGCTGTAGAAAGAACTAGTGGCACCTAACAGATAAATGTATGACACAGCATGGAGAAAGTATCCCTACTACTGCTGTTGTCCTCCCTGTCCACCATGTGAAGGATTCAATCTGTGGGCCAGATATGGGCCTTTGTGGGCTATAGGTTGCCAACCCCTCCTTTAAACCTTGCATAATAGATTATCAATCACGGATTCAGTTAAACAGAACCCAGTCATGCATGTTCCGAGTCTGTGGATTTTTATTTTTTTTGCCTTGGGATTTGAACCTTGTTCTTGCTTGACCTTTCCCTTTTCACTAGGTGAGGGTGGGGGCAGGTGGGGAACACCTTCCCATGGATCCTGTCTTGTTCACGCTGTTAAAATTTCATCCAGGAAGAGTTTTCTCCCTTGACTATACCTTTTGAAGTGTTTCCTCTTTGTAACTGTATACCAGCAATCCTCAACTTCTCTAGATTTGAGGCACGGAAAGTGACAGCTCATACTTTTCCCTTGTTTTTTGACTACAGAAAAATACTAGAGCAATTCTTCTCAGAAAGACCACAACAGGGCCAAATGGTTTAACACTCTAGATTCCTATTTTAAATCTCTGTGTTTATCTTGCAAATTGTGTTTGTAGAGCTAACACGGTGCTAATATTGTGTGGCAACCCAAAGCACTCACCAAGGGTGGAAACTGCACAATCTTTCTGGGTAGCCTGTTTCAGTATTTTAATACCTTGTTAGACAGTTTTTCCTAATATCTAACTTAAACTTCCCTTGCTGCAACTTGAGACAGTTGCTCCCTGTTCTGTCATCTGCCACCACTGAAAACAGTCTAGCTCCATCCTCTTTTGAACCCCACATCAGGTAGCTGAAGGCTGCTATTAAATCCCCTCTCAGTCTTCTCTTCTCTAGACTAAATGCCCAGTTCCCTCAGCCTCTCCTCAGAAGTCGTGTGCCCCAGCCCCCCCACCATTTTCCTTGCCCTCCCCTAGACTCTCCCCAGTACATAAGCTTTACTGAGATGCAGTTCAGCATCACCAAAGGCTGCAAAAAGACATGCACCCTGGCACAATATCACCAGGCATCCTGGTTTTCTCTGATAAAAAGAAAAATCCCCAATTTTTGCGTTTAAAAAAATCTGTTTTTCCGTGATTAAAAGGAAACACCACTATATATATAGTACATTTTTCGATTAAATGATTAAACGAAACACTACTATATAAGTGGAGTTGCATTATAGTTTCATAGTTTCATAGATTAAGGGTCAGAAGGGACCTAGTAGATCTTCTAGCCCGACCCCCCACCAGGGCGGGAGAACAACAAAAACCCCAAAAACAAGAAACGGGACTCAAATGAGTCCAGCCAGGTAGGCATCCAGCCTCTTCTTAAAGACCCCCAGGGTAGGGGCCAGCACCACTTCCCTTGGAAGTTGGTTCCAGCTCCTAGCCGCCCTAACTGTGAAGTAGTTTTTGCGGATGTCCAATCTATACCTCCTCTCCATCAACTTGTGCCCATTACTCCTTGTTATGCCAGCGGGCGCTAGGGGAAACAGCGTCTCCCCCAAACCCTTCTGGTCCCCCCTAGTGAATTTATAGACGGTCACCAGGTCCCCCCTCAGCCTTCTCTTGTGGAGGCTGAATAGGTTCAGGTCCCGCAGTCTCTCACTGTAGGGTCTGCCCTGTTGTCCCCGGATCATGCGGGTGGCCCTCCTCTGGACCCTCTCCATGTTGTCCACATCCCTCTTGAAATGGGGCGCACAGAACTGGACACAATACTCCAGCTGTGGCCTGACCAGCGTCGCGTAGAGGGGGAGGATCACCTCCTTGGCTCTACTCGAGATGCACCTGTGGATGCACGACAAGGTCCAGTTAGCCCTGCCAACCAGGACCTCGCATTGTCGGCCCATGTTCATCTTGGAGTCAATAATGACTCCAAGATCTCTTTCTGCCTCCGTGCCCTCAAGTAGGGAGTTCCCCATTAATCACAGAAAAATGTGGATGTGGATTTTGGGTTACTTTTTCAACTCTGAAAATTGGGATGTTTTTTACCACAGAAAACCAGGATCCCTGGCTACCACACGCCGGGGAAGTGATTTTAACATAGCAGCCAGGGTTTGGACAAAAGAACCAGGGACGGGAAATGAGGAACTAGGATAAAGAAGCGAGAACAAGGACCCAACTCCAGCCCCACACTGCGGGTCGGCTAAGCGAGCCTACGGACCTCAACTCAAAAGCCCCGCCCACCCCGCTGCGCCTCTCCGTGGTTACGTCACATTAGAGCGCCAGCGTCCATGGCAAATGTCTAAATCCCGCGACGTTGGGGGAACCTCCAGCTGCTGCCCGGGCGCACGTGGGTGGGCGTCCGCATGGAGGAAGCGGCGGCAGCAGCGGCGGCGCTGGTGGGGGGCCCCGGCCCGGGACTGGGGCTGCGCGGGGGTCTGATGGCTGTCAGCGGAGGGAGCAGGGTGCTGGCCGCCCGGTACCAGGAGCTCAGGGCCAGGTCAGCGGGAGGGGATGCAGCCGCAAGGCTCCTTGTGCGGGGGAACTGTGGGAGTAACGGAGGGAGGCGAGCGGGAGCCCCTGCCGCCGCGGTACAGGCGGGTCCTGGCATTGGGTGCAAGGCTGGCCCCTCCTTCCTGCTACGCGAGCTGTGGGGCATCAGCTGCCTCTCTTCGCATACCTCTGGCTCCAGAACCCCTGCCCTCGGTTCTAGAGCCCCCCCTCGCCCTGCCCTTAGTTTCAGAACCTACTTTGTTCTCTCTGTTTACAGTCGTTCAGGGCCCACCTCCTGCCCTAATGGGAGAGGAAGGTGGTGGTGCTAAAGGCATAGTGGTTTAGTGGCAGGGCACCCCTGTTTCCCTTCCTTTTAAGTGTGTGGCTGAAGAGGGTACCAGAGCCAGGGCCAAGCATGAGGTGGAGCACTGCATGTAGCCTGTAGCCTGGACCCACTCCCAGTGCTGTGTGCAGGAATTGTGGTGCCACATGCGGCTCATACACCAGTCTAGCTCCGTGTGCTGCATGCAGCATGTAGGGTCAGTGTGAGACCCGCTGGCCAGATCATAGGGCTCCACAGGCTGGATCCAGCCTGCAGGCTGCGTGTTGGATACCCCTGACTTAAAACAAGTTGTTTCATATGAAGTAGGAGCCCTGGATTTGGTGCTGATGTTTGTAAATTTACAGCATGTGAGGACTTAAAATGTTTCCAATGAGAGATCCTCCTGTAACAGACTAGCTGTCTACATCAAGGCTGGCCAACCTGAGGTACTGGTGACACAAGTGGCACAGGTAGCCTCGATGTGATCTGCTGTAGATCAGAGAGGGGACAGGCCACGCAGCAGAAGGCTAAGCAGCAAATTGGGCAGGGAGTGCAGGGCTGGGAGCAGAAAGTAGAGTGGCAGATTGAGCAGGGGAAGGGGATAGCACTGGGGGAAAATCCAGGGCTAATTTGTGGCATGCCTTCCAAAAATGGCTGGTTTCCCCACTGATTCGTATCACCTTGTGCACTCCAGGATCTACTTATGTATGTCCTTTCCTAAGTTTGCGCATATAGTTTTGCTGATTTCATTGACTTAAAGAAGGGCTACTCAGCATGATGTAATTGATCATAGATTCTTTCCCAGGATTAGAGGCTAAAACTGGGAGGAAAAAAATCTCGAATGTCTCAATTAATTAGCGTAGTAGGGGAGATTTTGGTTAATAACTCTCTTTCCCCTAAAGTGGATGGTGTGCCTTTCAAGAAGCCCAAACTAGTATGGTTAGTTCAGGAAATTAACTTTACTTGTTAGTTTACCCAGCAACAAAAAAGCCATCATGTACTTATGTACATCTCACTCCATCCTTCGGTAGAAAGGTCTTCCAGCGGTTACACAGATAGTGTGACAAAATTAAGGAAACGGTGAATGAAACAGGGATGTGATTTTTGTCATTTGTTCATTTTGTCTAGATTAGCAAATTTGTACGTAGTTAAATACTGGCACACAGCTTGTTTGTGTACAGTAAGTTCCACTTTAAGCTTACTAGTCTTGATGCCTGACCGCATTCATACACAGACAACCTGATCAATCAATGACGTACATAGCAGATGCCAAGATAAATTAACTGCAAATGACTGGTACATTTGAGAGACCAGTAAAAATTAAAACAGCTGTTCACAGAATAAAAATCAAGTTGTTTTGCCATCAACTAATAACATGCTTGGTAAGTGATAACTTCTATTCGTGTGTATATGGGATGGAAGATGCTAAATATCAATAACCTGAACAGTTTTGTTGGTTTTTGGAGGTGTAGTGGTGGTAAGGGAACATCAGAGCAGACTACAATTGAAACATAAAAGTATGTGATAATGGTGCATTATGAATAAGTTGGTATTCTGTGTGAGGGAATTCTGATAGTATTTGGGTTTTTTATCCTTATTTTTCCAGTAATGATGGCGATCTCTTTGTGTATGACTGTGTCACTGCAAACAAGAGGACACAAGAGAAAGGGTGAGTGAATTCATGTAAACTTTTTGCTGCCTATCCAGAGGCTGTAACACTGCCCTTGTTGCAAAAAAAGAAAAAGCCAACAACCTGCTGGATTGTGTTAATAGGAATGTCTCTTGCAAATCAAGGGAAGTGATTCTTCTGCTCTATTCGGCATTGGTGAGGCCTCACCTAGAGTATTGTGTTCAGTTTTGGGGCCCGTGCTTCAAGAAAGATGTGGACAGATGTGTAGAGCAGAGAGCAACATAAATGATTAGAGGCCTGGGAAGTATGATTTATGAAGAAAGGGTGAGAGAACTAGGATTATTGTCTGGAGAAGAGAAGGCTGAAAGGGGATTTGATAACAGTTTCTGAATACCTTAAGGGAGATAATCTTGTGCCCTGCAGCCACAGAGAAAAGGCTAGGAGTAACGGCATAAAACTGCAGCAAAGGAAATTTAGGTTGAGGATTAGGAAGAACTTTTTAACTGAGGGGAGTCAAGCATTGGAACAGGCTACGTAGAGAAGTTCTGGACTCTATCTCTGGATATTTTTCAAGAGCAAGTTGGAGAGACACGTGGCTGGGATGGCTTAGTACAGGATTGTCTAGCCTTGAGCAGAGGGATAACATGGTTACATGACCTCATGAGGTCCCTTCCATCCTTACTTTCCTATGATCCTATGACCTTTTTCAATAATTGAGTGATAAACAAGACATGACTGGGAATGCTTGTAGGCAAGACATGATTTACTTAATTTCCAGAGAAATCCTCTATTTTGTTATTTATTATGCATTTTTAAAATTTTTTGTGGTAAATTGCCTGAAAAGAATATAGCCACAACAATCAGCACTACTGTGTTGTGTGGGTTTTTTTGTTTTAACTTGTACAACTATTAGAATGGAAAAATATTTTAGTCTTGTTTAACTTTGAGCATGGGTAACTGCTTCACCTCTTGTCAGTTCTGCTGTTTGTAGATCACGATCAGCTAACGTGGCCACCAACACCATGCTAGAATGGGCCCATCAATTTTGTTTCTTTTTGGTTTTGTTCTTGGCCACAGTAACTAGAGAAAAACTTTACTAAAATGAAAATATGACCAAGACTGTAGCCATGAAAGTGGATTGATGGTTTAAGTAAACATGCTCAAAGTTGTCAGCTTGGGAACAAACTTAGTTTTCCCCCTTTTTTTTATTTCAGACAAGCTGGACAGACAACAGATAAAGCGAGCAATGACATCTTAGCTTTTGCCTTCTCTTCATCAGGAAATTATTTTGCTTTGACAGATGACAACAAGCATCTCATTCTTTTTTGTACAAAGCCTTCCTGGGAATGCATTAGCATCAGGTAAGGAAGCAGAATAGGATGTGCCAGTATATTATAAACAGGATGTATAGCTCGTATTTAAGTAGCAGTGTCTGGGGGAGTTATGCATCTGCCCTGATCTTGGAGCTGAGAATATTGGCAAGGAAATGGAGATGAAGTCAGGGCTTGATCCATCCGTTCTTTTAAACTTCGGACGTAACTTTGTTTTTGGGTGGGTATTTTTTTACTTAATTTCCACAGCATTAATAATGTTGCTGTCTTTCTGCAGTTTAATACTATGGAAATTATTTTTAGTGTACTCAGCTTTAGCTGTGATAGTTTCCTCTATTTTGACATGATTTTCAACACACATTGTTATCAAAGGGCTAGTTATTAATAAATTGCTCAAAACAGTCAAAAGTCAATTCCATTTTACATCTGGTGAAGAATTAGTT